CCGCCCGTTGTTGCCTCTCTTCACCTGCTTATTTCAGCTGGAATTTATCTTACAGTTATTAATGCAGATCATGACATTCCCTCTTACACTGACCAATTATCTTTTTCCATCTATAAATACCTAAAAAACATGTTCTCAGGTTTCAGAAGTTCTGATTAGTTTCAGTTACTTGTGTGGCTACAGCACAACTATTCACCCTTTATAGCCCTGTCTTGTTCAGCCAGCACCTAAACTCTTCTTTATCTAATTTAAACACCCTGGAAACACACAGAAAGTAGATTTATTTCTCTTAAGTTTCTTTCTTTGAGGCAGTTTTCAAGCAGTTGATCATCAGGGATCCCCCCCCTCACCAAATGAAACACACGGTAGATGTATAATATATAACACCTGCTAAATATGAGACTGCTCCAGATGGCACTGATTGACTTGGTTTGTCCACCTCTCTCTCCCTAGTCTGCCTCCCTTCTTCCACTTGGGTGAGGACTCTAGGAAGGACCCACAGTTTTAAGCTTGAAATACTTTGCAGTAAGGAAGTTTCTCGGAGTGTGGTCAGCCCCAGGGTTTCTAGGCCTCTACCCCCAGCCAGCTGAATCGGTTTCTGGTCGTGGAATAAGCATGGAATGTGCACCTACAGATAATTCTGCTGCATGCTACGGTTTGTGAATCACTGCTCTAGGGACTCTAAACTGTGATTTTTATTAAAGAAATATGATCATATAAGTACACTCTCCATTCCAAATAATTCCATATGATGTAATGCATTCGTTCAAATACTGAAATTACCAAGATATTTTAAGAGGTGAAGTCTTGTTTTCTCTGTATAATTTAAAATAAAACATTAGTTCTAAAAGTAAAATACACAGAAATTCTGGTGAATGGCTTACCACATTTATAATTTTAAGAAAGTTAGAAAACATTTATCACTACTTTTCTAGGAGATTTTGGGGAACACTATGGTAAATTGGTCAAATATCCTATTTTCAATGAAATAAAGTACATGAAGAAGCAACTAGAGTACAAAATAGAAAATATTAAGACATATGAATGTTCTGCAAAGGAGATGATTCCTTCCAGTTCTGAAGATCAAAGGACGACTCTCTATAGTTTGGGATTCAGTTTAACACAGGGTTAAGTTTTACACGTTGACTTGGGATAACCTATATCTCTTTCCTGATCCCTTTGAGATGCTACATAACTAACAGCCCCATGAGCACAGCACACAGGGTGCCAGGAGAGCTCACTGCTGTTCTTGGGTGGGTGGTAGCAGAAGCTCACAGGGATGTCCCATGTCAGCCAGCTGGGGAGCCAGCAAGTGGTACCATGGCCAGCACCCCCCACAGAACACACACATTGCATAGGCCACCGGGCATGGGCAAACAAGCACAGCATGACAGAGGTCAGATGTGATGAAGCTCTGTGGGAAGTAAAAGCTGAACAGTCTTGTCACAGAGCATAGAGTAAGCTGAAGACTTGCTCTGGTGAGGGTGTCCTTTACCATAGTGTGTAAATTTATATGGGTTTATTTAATCTGTTGTTTAGGTTGAAATAATTATACATTTCAGTTAAAGTATAAAGAGAATATTAGATATTTAGCAGAATTTTATGAGAACCCACTGGTATCTCAATCTCTACATAGTGTATTTTCTTAAATGAAAATCTTATGGTCTAGAGAGAGAATTGATTGAAAATATCAATAATTTAAAATACATTAATCATAGAATAAAACTCTGAAGAAGACTGGAGGCATTTTTATAATAAAATAAAATAATAAGATTGTATTTTTTAATTCCTCAGATAAAAAACATTGACATGATAGCAGATTCAGATACATTAGGAAATATTTAAATGTGTGAACATGTACAGAGGATACTTATTCTGCTAATATTATTATTAATGTGCAATGATTATAAAGGTTTGACTTTGCTCTAAAGCACATGACTATTTTTTCTAACTAGAAATAATTTTATTTTAGAAAATATTAAAGAACTAGTTTACAGTTCTACTAATGTAATAAATCCAATTTATTGATCAATAAATATTTTAAAGGTATATAAATGTGCAATTTAATTATACTTTAATGTAACCTTCAATTTTCAAATATATCCTGTTTGAATAAAATATATTACATGGTCATCCTATCCATAAAAAATAGATACAATTATTTTAGACTTTATGATTTGAAGTTTTGCATAAACTGTGTACCTTACTGAACATTCATTTGCAATTTACAAAACTTTAAAAAAAAACTTAACGTTTTCATTTGGACATGTGTTAATATTGATAGATGCAGGTAATTTGTTTCAATTATATGATAGATTTACCATAACCATTATAAAAATGTGATTACTTATCCATCCACCTAATTTGCAAACAGCTATGGTGTTTCTACTTTTTCACAAATTCAAATGGTCTTATTATGATGATCCATACAGATGTCTCCTTATGTACTCTGAGTTTCAGAACATATACATTTTGAATTTTACTAATTATTGTGAAGTTGTGAATTACTCACATAGTGTTTGAATCAACTGATAGTCCCACCATCATGTATAAAAGCACTTACTTTTCTACATCCTAATCAACACTTGGTATTGTCAGGTTTTTAAATTTTGGCCCATCAGGTAAGGGTGCAATGATATGATATTGTTATTTTAACATTAATTTCTCTTATTATTGATAATACCTTGAGCACATTTCTATGTTACTTGGTCATTGTTTTCTCCTAAATGTTATTTTATCTACTAGTTTGGTCCCTTGGTTTTTATACACCTATCAAACTGATCAATATTATTTTTTACATCAATATTCATTTAGACTGATCCATTAGTATCTTTGTATTTGCTGAGCATCCCAGATAATCTTGGGTTCCAATTCATTCTTCCCTGTTGTAAATACTTTAACAGTTCTTTCAGACTGAGTTCAAATACTTTCAGTGTTTGTTTAAAAACACCTTCCTTTTCCTCTCATCCCTGAGCAAAATTTCTGTAGGTGTGTTGGGCATTAGTCTAAGTAAACAGGAGTTTTCCAGTCATCTTATATTACTCCACCAGCATTCCTATCAGTGGCCACACAAATATTGCTCCCTTCTATGTAATCTCTTTTCTTTATTTGATTTTAAGAGCTTCTCTTTTTCCTTAAGGTTTTACTTCATTTATAGAGCAAATTTATTTTTATTTATCTTGAATGAGACCAACTGCATGCTTTTTTATTTATCTTTTTTGGGACTGTGTACATTTGAATCAGAGAACTTATCCATCTAGAATGTTCTCAGCTATTCTCTTAGAAAACTGTCTCTCCTCTCTGAGTTCTCCATTCTCCTATAATGGAATTCCTATCAGAAATACAGTCAGCCTTCTTATTTCAGACTCCTAATCTTTTAAAACTACTTTTTTACATTTTTATCCTTATCCCAATATGGCTAATTTCCTCATATCTATCTTCCAGGTCATTAACTCTCTTTGGCATTGCATGCTGTTCTAACACATTTATTGACAGTTTTTAAAATTTCTAATAATGTTCTATTCAATAGCTGTCTTTGTTTATTATATCTGTCTTCTGTTTCATATTTTATTATGCTTTTATGCTTTAATTAAAATAAGTATATATATATATTTTTTTTCAACTTGTCACTCTACTTTCTCAAGTTCAGGGGAACCCAATCTTCCAGTTTATGGTGTATACTCACTTCCTCTCAAGGTGGAATATTTCTCTGTTTGATTTACAACATTTGATCATGTGTGCCCTATTAGTAGGTCTTGTTTTTCTCCTGAGGCATCAATGCCATGCCATGGAGTTCTCTCTGAAGACATCAGACACACTGTAAGTCTGAGGCCAATATGTATATGAATTCTTCATTCTGGATTACATAGACATGGCAGAGATAAATCTAAATTTATCTTATTTTTCCTTATTCCTTACGCTTTTTCCCATTTCTCACATTTTTTTTCAGTCTCCTAGGTAGCTGGTGCATGCACCTAGGAGGAGGGATAGCCTTCCTCCCCCAGCCTCCACAACTGCCTCAAGAACATCAGAACATCAGCTCATGTACTTAAATTCTGTGTGCACCCATTTTTCTATTTATAGACAACTATGTTGTTTCTCCTTTTTCACTTGTTCCTAGAAATTGTTTCATTTTTCTTTTTTGGTAAACTTACCTCTGATTTTTGAAAATTTTATAAAATTGTATTTAGTGCATTTAGTAGGAGGCATCTGTTGTACTCTAGGCCTCCATCTTGCTGACTCCAGAACTCTGACACCATGACAGCCATATGTGCCCAGGACTGCCAGTGCCTCCACTTGTATGTTGGAGAGAAATAGACTTCTCCTTGGTGAAGTCATTGTTAATTTTTGGAGTTTTCTGTCACAAATTATATTAAAAATAATCCTGTTAAACACTGACTATTTAGATTGTGGAATGCAAGACCGAGGAAAACACATTAATATTGTCAGAATATCCAAGGCATCATTATCTTTGTCCAAGAAAAGCATTTTTGAAGTGAGTTGTAGAATAAAGAGAAAGAAGAACCTTTCACACAAAGGATGTTATTGGCATTGTAATATGTTGCCTTAGGTCCTGCAAATGACTAAAACTACCCCTAGTTCTCTTTCTGCTTTTTAAATTTTTTCTACGTCTTAAGAAACATAATCATGGAAAATATATATTAAGACAATAAGAACTAGAAGGAAAAAAAGGGCACAAGTTGAGAAGGATATAATGCACCTTAATCATACATTTGACCCTAGCACAGCATGTCACGCCGCCCCGCCACTCCTGCCCCATCCAAAAAATACTACTATCATGGTCTTGACACTTTCTCCATCTGTTTATTCTTAATATGAAAACCCTATTTTGTTGTACTTATTCAATGTGTTCACTCCCAATTTTACAACCAAGTAAGTACTCTCCTTCTAGTGATGACTGTCTAGTGATTAGAATTTATCATGAACTGAATATACACATAGTCAGGCGTTAGTAGCTGGGGCAGAGTCTGCACAGTTACCTGGCTTTGCAGCTGGCTGGGCGTCCTCGCCGTCCCTATGCAGGATGACAGCCAGGCCCACCGAGTCGGCCGGGAGGACAGAGCTGCTGAGGTCCACGCGGGTCAGGCTCCCAGGCTCCCTCCCAGAGCCCTCCCCAAGTCGGCGCCGGCCGTCCCTGCCAGCTGTGCTCCTTTCTTGGACTGGCCTCTGGGGTCTCAGCACAATGTGAACGATGCTCTGCTGATCCAGGTCACAGCTCTGTGGGAGGCAAGGCAAAAATGTAGAAGAAAATGTAAGCAGTAAAGTGCCAGGTGAAGCTCAGTTTGTCCTCAGTCCTGGAGTGTGCCAAAGACTTGGAAATCTGTGTGGGTACAAGGTGTACATCTAGATGTGGAACTTAAAGGAAGGTGACTGATGAGCTTAGGCACACTTACCCTGCCAGCAGGGCCACCATGCTTACACATGCGTGTGTCACACAGCAGCAGTGGATGGGGGCTTGAAACCAACATGGGGGGAAAGATGAGACACAACAACAGAGAGCTAAGATTCCAAGGGACAGGAGAAAAATACCACACACACATAAGCTCAGTGAAAAGTAGCTTCTTTTAAAACTGACTTCATAAGTGATATCCATAAAATTATCAAATTTAAATACTGGTATGCATTTCTGTTTTTAAATGCAGAGAGAGTTGGGTATTAGCAACAACAGGGCTTTTTTCGTGAGAATTTAAAATAAATGTGTTTATACTAGGCTCCACATACGCCTACCACGTCACTAGCAAACAATGACCACACCAGTGGGGAAGCAAATAACCAGCATACAAAAGCCATCCCAGGAGTCATTTACCATTTTATCCAATCTCACAACTAAAATCAGTGAACATATACAAAAATGTGCTGCATCTATATATTGATGTGTATGAATAGGAGAATGAAAAAATTTGTAGAATTAAGTTAAAAGCAGATAATTTGCTAGGACAGAAACCTGACTGTCTTAAATCAAATCCCATTTTAGACTATCTATGGGACAGAAATGGTCACTTGGCTGCGGCCCACCTTCCACAAAGCAAGACCTGGTTCTCTCAGTGAACCTCGGAATCTTGGCATCTGCACACTTACCTGCTGGCCCTCTCTCTCATCTTAGAAACGCTCAAAGAACGCAAGACTCGGTGATACTGATGGGAAACAAACCCCTGGATCCCAGCCCTAGGGCACTGTATTCTCATTGTAAAACTGTCAGTCAAGAGGGGGGCTGCTCGCTCACAGGCATTTCCCGCCCACACACCACTTATTGGTGTTTGCCTTCCGGGCTCAGCAAGGTCACCAGGAAGCCCTCCAGTTCTAACTCCATCCAATGCTCACCTCTCCCCCATCCTGTGACCCGGACCTCGGTCCCTTTGATATGCTTGCTCCCAGCTGCCCATCCCCACAGCTCTGTGTCCTGCCCCCAGGACAGCGCCTACCCAGCAGTGGTCACAGGCTCATCATTCTCGGTGCCCTCAGCCCGCCCCTACCTTTCCGCCTTTCCATGAAAGCACCACCATCCCTGAGATGCAGGTGTCGGGGCCGGCGCTCCCCTCTGAGAGCCTGACCTTCCCACTGTGTTTCCCAGTGGCACCAATAGAACCACCCCCTCAGACCCTCATCGCAGTGTCGCAGCCAGCGAGGCCCCAAGAGTAACTGACTCTGACTCACAAAGTCCCCTCCCATCCTTGGTGACCTTACATCCCAGCCGTCACGCCCCCATTTTAGCCCTTCATCAGTACAGTAGCTATGTAACTGTCCCTTAGCTCCTGTCTCTCCCTGCAGCCATTATGCACAAGAATATCTGTCAGGTGCTACGTGAGCTTTCTGAAGTGTCTGTTACCTGTTAAAGAAAATCTAACATCTCACTATCCTCTTCAAGTGTTTCGAATTTTCTCTTTTCTAAAGAAGCTGTCCTGTGAGCTTCACCCTCTTCACCTCATCTTCACTGCCCGGTGGCACACAGTTCATGCTCTAAAACTACTCACTCTCATGTCCCCTCCTCCTGTCCAAAATTTTGGGTTCAGCCATGTGATCAATTTGGCCAATGTGACTAAACCAGGGCCTTAAAATGTATGTGCACCACTGCTACGGTCATCAAGAGCGTCCCTGGGGGGCTTCTACCTCTTCAGCCTGGGCCCCAGAACTGCACACAGGCACAGCCCTGAGCCCAGCCGCAGGCCCACAGGCAGTGGCGCCATGGCCAGCTGCCCAGCTGAATGCAGGATGGGGCCCAGACCCCCAGCTGACCTCACGAGGCAGCAGAAAGAGATGCTTATTAATGGATAGCACTGAAATGTTGTGGTTGTTCATTAAGCAGTAATAGCCAACAACAGTCTATTTTAATTTACTATTGCTTTCCATTTTAATTGGATGGATAGACATTCCATCACCAGTTATCATCAGTCCGTGTTCAGCCAGAACTCTGGGAACAGTACAGTCTTTACCCTAGGTCATTTCAAACAAACCGACATCAAGACCTGAGCACCCTGGGGTGGACACGTGAGGACAGGAGCAACAGTTGAGAGTTAGTATCCTGACATCCCCTGGGGTTTTTATCCATGTATGTGTTCTTTGCAAGAAGGCTCGGTAATTTGGTCAGATAAAATTCCTCCCTCCAAGTTTAGGACTTGAGTGCCTCCTGGGACCCTCCCAGATGGAAGGGAGGCCTTTCTCTCCGATCTGGCCTCCAGCCGTCTTGCCTGCCACGCCGTTCTTACTGCAGTGGTTGGAGCTTCGGCCGTGTATGTGAGGGGCATGTGTGTGAGGTCTTCTGACGGGGAACTTGGAAATTCAGCGTTTGGGTCACACTCATCTTTTTATTTACCAGAGGGCTTCAGACAGTGCTTTGAACCTAGTAGATGTAGATAAAATGTCTGTGAGTTGAAAATGCAAATGACTGGGAAGGAATGAGAAAGAAGGACTGAACAAATATAATAGTCATAAGCGCCACACAGCACTCCATGGGGAAGCAGAAGACTGTGGAAGAAAAAAACATGGAATTTAAGGTCAAACAGATACAACTTACTAGCTGTACGATTTTTAGCAAACTACTTTTCCTCCCTAAGCTCCTGTTTCTACATCTGTCATTGGTAATAATATTACCATCTTTGAAGAATGGCCTGAAGATTTGAGGACATATAAAAAATGCAGAACCCAGTCAAGGGTAGTAACTCAGTGCACAGTTATTAATATCCTTGTCTTCATTTACGAGTTTGGAAAACTTAAGAGGATAAGTCCTTTATCTTCTATGTCAATAAAGGCTCAGAATCTTATTTTACTGTTCGATTCGACTCAAACAATCCTATTTGGAAAATGTACAGAGAAGGTGGAATAAGGACCTCCTTGCAGCTCAGAGAGGTCCCACAACTACTATGCAATGGACGCACAGGCTGCGCTCTTCCCTATGCTACACTGAGCCTATGCAAGCCTCCCTCACCCTTTGTCCTGCTCCTGGGAACACATCTTCCAAATTCTGGAAGCTCAGGTCCACCTGCCCTTAAAGTCTTCTACACAGAAGCAGTATCCAAGCCAGTTGCCATTTCTTCAAGGTGTTTGGTTGCTTCAAAGAAGTGTTCACTGTGCCTTAGAGCAGCAAGGGGACTGCCTTCAGCTCTCCTGCAGTCAGGTATGGCTGTGTGACTGAGCGCTGGACAGTGAAATAGAGCTAGAAGTGATGTGTGTCATTTCTGGGCAGACAGATAAGAAACAGGTGTCCCTTTCCTACAGTCTCTGTCCCCATCTACCAGGTGACTGAGAAAATCTCTTGATTCCCCATAAGGAGAGCAGGGCCACAGATAGAAAGAGCCTGGGTCCCTGAGGGCTGATCTGCCAGAACAGCAGACAGTGTCGCAGGGAGAGGCAATCCTATGTTATGTTAGGCCACTGAGACTGCAGAGATCAGCTGTTACAGCAGCTAGCATCACCTTAACTAAAATAGATAGTTAAAGAAACATAGATGTGACAATTATTCTGGTAATATTCCAGCTTTCTGTGAACTAAAAATCAATACAAAAAATGTCCCTATATGCTCAGATGTTGTGAAATACATGAAGAAACTGAAGAAATTCTCAGGGGCTATTAAAGTTTGACAGATGGGAAGAAATCCAAAAATTGAGATTTTCCCTTTAAATCCAGATGTCCCTAATGTTCAGGGTAGAGCTGCAAAGGGGACTAGGAAGATCTCAGACAGATTTCAGTAGTTATAGTGATATTCATGGAACGTATTTCCTCTGCCTCCCCCATGCTCCTGAAACCATCATTTTTCCATTCTCTGGCAGGCCCAAAAATTGTGGGTTGGAGAAGTCCCTTTTGCCAGACGGCACAACTGCCTGTCATGCAAGCTCAGGTCAAAGCCACGTTACTGATACGGGGCACGGACAACAAACTGGATGAAGTTTAGATGTCTAGCTACTCCAAAGCCCAAAGTAAGATTGAGTTCTCATGGCAAACAAATAATTCCTCAGCTTTGGGAGGAGAAATTTTTGAGGTAAAGAGCAGAGTTCTCCAACTTGGTTTTAAAATTCCTCAAGACAAAAGCAATGTCATGTTTACCTTGTTTCCTCAATAACTGGAATATTGCCTGTCAAAGTGGAAACAACCAATTTGGGTTTTGTTATCATGACTTTTTAATTCACCTAGTAAGGCAGTGCTGTAAACTGTGTAGATTAAACAGTAGTAACTGGTCCAGCTGCTCTTGGCCTTGGGGGTTAAGTAGAGCTGCTGCCCATGGGGACCTGAGGTCAGGAGCTGGGCTCTCTCTCTGCAGGACTTCTTACATGGAAATTGTTTATCAACCTCACCCAGTTGGCCTTTGGTCAACAAAATACAAGACATTGATGTATTTTTCTTTTTCCAAAGAAGAACATCTTTGAAATATCTTTGATGACATGTAGTTAGGATTCAAATATTTGAGAGTAGAGTAATGCACCTAGGAACCCAGAAATAAGTAAAATTTGAAAAGTCTGCTAATACTTTTCAACCTTTTAGACCTTGTAAAAGTAAGTTACTCTATCAAGAAAAATTCCTGGGAATTGAACAGTCATTGGAATATTTACCAAACATTTAAAGAAGATTTATATAGATAATCTCCAAAATGATTAATAATGAGATTCAAAACAGTTAGTAATACCATACACTTAACAAAGTGCTTTTGTGTGTTATAGCAATAACAATTCCATTAGTAATAAAACTAAAATAAATATACAAAGTTCTTGAGCTCTGACTATCCTCTG